AGATAGAAACTTCAAAAGGTGAAGTTAAGAGACAGTCCTCCACTTATTTTCTGAGCTAACCTGAAAGATTTTAAGGAAAAACAAGTATGGGTGAGATGTGAGTACGTTGAGAAGCTCACCACCTCAACTAAGTTGGAAGTCCCAAGGGCTACCAAGGAGGTTGAGTCACCTAAAAGGTAGGTGAGGTGAGGTAAGAGTGTGGACTTAGGTACATATAGTCTCTTAGATCCTAGGTTCATGCATTGTATATATTTTTTCTTTATTTATTTACTTTGCTTTTGGTATATGAAAGCCAAAAAAATATATTTGATGTCTAGTTGGGCATCTTTTTAGGATTTATTGGTAAATCCTTTAATTTTTATTTATTGTTGTATTTTTTGCATATTTTATTTTTTTAATTTATTTGGGAAAACTCCAAAGACATTGAAAAATGAAAAGTTTTTAAAAAAAAATCTTTTATTGTTGATCAAGGTAAATCATTCTTTGATTCAGCTCAATACTTTTACATCCTTAAGACAAAGTTGAATAGTGCATTACTATAAGTCTTAGTAAGTCTTAGTGTCTAATCCTTAAACCAAAATTTCTTTCACCCTTGCGTGCTTGGATTGTACAAGTCTTGAGAAAATTCATAAAACCAAGTGCAAGCCAACCATTCACCTTCATACGTAAGAGTCTTCCTAGTTTGAATTATTAATGAGCTTAATGACTCTTAGTGTTGGCGATAGGTGGAAACATAGATAAAGGTTAGTAAAACCCTAATCCCTTAAAAGATGTAAAAGAGCCAAATGTGTGAAAAGAGCCCAATGAGACCAATTAAAAGGTGAGGCATGAAAAAAAAATGGCTAATGTCAATTGCACTGAAATTATTGAGAGTTCTATATGCTTAATGTCGTTGCTCACATTTAAATCTCAAAGAGCCAAAGCTAAATACATTTAGAAGCATATCATATGACATACGGAATTCACAAGCATACTAATTGAGGTCATAATAAGTAGAAGGGATAAAAGATAGGGGGAGTGGGCAAAAAAAATTGAATAGAACACTCACTAAGTAGCTATGTAGTCACTTAGACAATGCATTAGAATTTCATTTATAACTTTATTAATGATTTGATTTAGACGGAATCTTATTGGTGAACAAAGTTTGAACACATGTGAATGAAATCAACCTAAGTGAAGGAAGATTGCGAAATTGAGTTCAATATGATTTAATATGCCTTAGAGTAATATAATGGGACGATAAAATTTGGATGGAGCTATTATGTTTTGAACATGTGATGTTCATTATTAATGATGTTGTGCATTTTAAAGTTAAAATTAAAAATTGCTTATAGCTCCTAATTTCATCCATGCATGTGCATTTAGTTGCATTTTATGTTGTACATTCATACATGCATGATTTGGAGGCTCATTGAGTTGATAGGGGGAGTAGAGGAGGAGTTGTAGTAGTCCGTTGGTGAACTGAAGAGCTAATCTATCAATTAGGCAGACAAGATTCAGGGACTGCTCAAGCGACCCAAGACATTGCTCGATCGATCTCTCTAAAAAATAGATTATAGGACTTTAGACTTCAATTTCTATTGCCTCTTCCTTTTAATATGACTCAAACTCCTTCATAACCTTATCCATCACCTATTGTACTAGAAGGCTTAGACAAAGGCTAAGAATGATGGCTTGAGGTTCCTCGTAATGGAAAAGGTGGAGATGATACAGCCACTAGAGCTGCTTAAGAGACTTTAGTATAGGACCATATAAGAGTTTATGAGTGTTTTTATTCATTGATTATCTATACTTAAAGTACTTTATTTTTTCTTTTTGACTTTTCATCTTTTTGACTTTTGTTTGTTTTGATATTTTTTGTTTGTTGTGACATACTCTTAGTCATTGCTATTTGATGCTATATTCAGTTATACTTTGATTTATATGCCTTGTTTGTTATTTTCTTGCTTTGCATTCCTATTTTAGCTAGTTGGTTTGTATTTATACCATCGTGTTATACTATGATTCTATGTTGTTTGCTATGATTTGTCCCTGGCTTGACATCTTGTGACAAATAGGAAAGAATATGTTGGGATAGGTTTATTTTATACATTGTTTGTTATGATATGTCATTGGTTTGACACTTTGTGACAAAAAGGGAGAGAATATTTTGGGTACATATGGGAGAATTCGAAAAGATATTCTCTTGATTAGCTTAGGTAAGTTACATGTAAATAGAGTAAGGTGGAGTTTGTTCTAATACTTAAGGGGAGTACATTTACATACTTGACATAAATTCACCTATTTCACACTGTTTATTTTTTATTTTTTATTTTACTTGTGAACACCAACTAAGGGAAATAACTAGTTGTACATTGTCATGTTAATTTCTTGTGTGGGACTCCAGACTATTTCCCTAATTAACAAGGACCACACACCTTGGCAATTGACTCCCCTAACTTAGGTACTCCCCTTATAAGATCTTTGCTTGTAATCCGGTTAAGGTCTTTATATTCATCTGCCCTAACCTTTGGTGCCAAAGTGTGACATCGTCTATACTTACCCTATGACACAATAACAAAAGACTTGGACATATGCAATAGCGATTATCTCCTGACCTAACCCCTTCTAAAAAAGACATTTTTTTCATCATTCAATACCATGGCAATTATCTTTTGTGAAGCGTACGACATGACCATCATCACACAACTGGCTAATGCTAATCAGGTTAGCCTTTAGCCTTTCCACATACAAAACATTGTCCAATTTAGGCATACCAAATTCCAACAACCTTGGAAACATTCTCTTCTCCAAATGTGACCGTCACGCCACTATATTTTTCTAATAGGTAAAAGTGGGATTTTCACCTGTAATGTGCCTAGAACACCATCTATAGAAGTACCATTTGTTTCCAACCTGGGCTTTCAAGGACATGTGTACTACAAGAAACTTATCTTGACTAGTGAATTTATTCGTCTCAATGGACAAACCTTTAACTGGATCAAGTAAGTAAAAAGTAAGTTATGCCTATAATGCGCCTACGTGCAATTCTTAGCACAACCACGCACTGATAACAATCAGGGAAGGGGAGATTTGTAGATCCTTTCTCAAGATTATCCACGTAGAATCGCACTAGATGATCTAGAATGGGTGAATAGATTAGTTTAAATTTTGACTTGAACAAACACCATTTTATAACTTAATTACCATAATTACCAACAAAGGTGATTAATTTGTCAATTAGTCCTTTGAACGCCTTTTTCCCACTTCAAGAACAACCCACCATGTGAGCGGATGTTATGTATATGTCAATATGCAAGATCTATCGAAAATATAGAATTCAAACAATCATTACATCGAACACATTGTGTTTTTTATATGTGTATGCAATTGCAAGTGTATATGAAAAACTAAAGCAATAAAGAACACCCACAACTCATGCAATTTGTTTATGCGAAAACCCTCTTGGAAAATACTGCAAAAATCGATCTCGGTTTACTTAGAACCTAATCCACTAAAGTCAATTCAATTATCTCCTTCTTAAATGTGTAATGTTGAATAGGTAGAATGAAGATGGTTTGGCCTTTAGATCTTAGGGATCTAAGGTTGTTCTTGGCTGTCTATATGTTTTAAAGGCAGCTTTGGAGCATGTTACAGAGTTCTAGAGAGTCTCCCTAGCTCGGGAAGACTTTCCCTATTTATAGGTCCACAATTAGGTTTGTCTTTGGGTCCAAGAAAACACAAAATCACGAACCACCGCTCAAGCCATCATAGAGTGGTGGGACTGCAGTTGGAATTGAAATAAGAAAATGATTCAATCAAGTCAACAATAGCAGAGACCGCTCAAGCCGTCTACTGGTCGCTCAAGTGGCCAAGAGGGTAGTCTCTACTGCCCAACTCATTAGTCTTCCCCAATTTTTTCTCAAGTGTCCAAAGATAGCTCTAGCTAAAAGCAAGTGAGAAAAGGGTTTGTCCCTATTAGTTTTTAAATTAGAAACCAAGCAAAAATTAGATCTATTGAGCATCAAGGAGTATTGCTCAAATAAGATCTGATACATGATCTATTCTATGTTTTTAAACCACATTTGATGTTTAAAAAAAATTATGAAAAGTCTAAGGGTCATTCACCAATAATCCTAAATCCAATTCGATTAAACTAATGAGTCAAAGTCTAAGATTAACCAAGGGTCTTAGATATCTAGATTATTGTCTTTGTCCTAATCCTTGAAGGTCCATTGGAGGTGTTCTTGATACAACTTTAAAGCTTGACCTCCTTCCTTCCTTGACGCATTCGGAACTTAATTTTTAAGGCATCATGATCATCGAATTTGGTTCAAATTTATAATAAAACTTCATGAAATTAACCAATTACAATCGCAATCGATTTCCTAACAGAAAGAAAGCTAAAAAGTTAAAATAGTGAGGCCCGTTGGCTTACCCCTCAAGCGATCTCCACTGTTGTGGCCTAGATTTATTCTTTGTTCAGTCTAGCAGCCATTGCCCGACGACTGCTGGCCAAAAACTCTGGATTGTCCATCCCAAATTTGAATTTTCTTGAACCACAAATAAACACTGATTTTGGGACCTATTTATATTTAACTTTTTTTTTTTGTTACAAACTTATTCGTAAAGATTTGTACCCTAAACAAATTGAACTTCTATAAAAGTGGCTAGATTTTATATTTTTATGGATTCTTTATAATTGCTGCCCTCATTTTCATTTTCTTAGGGGTGAGTAATTATAAAAATACCAAAAACTTTAAATTTTTAGTAATTTAAAATATGATTGGTCATAAAATTAAGAGGAATAATTGATGTTCTCTTTTAAAGGATATATGAAGCAAAAATTAATTGATTAATAAATTAGAGGTAAAAATATAATCCATTTTCATAAGAAGGAAAAAATTAAAACAATAAAGTAATCAAAAATAAGAATTAATTGTACAAATGAAAATATATGATTTAATGATTTTTTGTATAAAAAAATACGACTAATTGGGAATTTACCGAAAATGAGTATTAGAATCATTAAATAATGAAATAAATAACATCTATAAATATAGATAAAGTTACATAAGACCATATGAATCACTAATGTAGTGTAGAGCTGCATTTACAGTTTACATAATATGCTTACTACACTAGCCAGGACCCCAATTTTATTGGACAAAAACGCCATCAGACATTTCAATTCAAAGCCAAAACTAGGGACATATTAGTCTTGGAAACTCTACCATCTCTCTTCGTGCACCATCCAACGAACAAAACTTCTGTGGCCTTCAAGTTGGCGACTCCTCCAATAAGTTAAACTGTCCACCAGAGAGGGAGCAACAATTCTGCTGCCTGGCACATCAACTCCCCCAGGCAGGCATGATATCTGAAAGAAGTAGGGGAACAAACAAGCAGCCATTGCACAGATATCGCCGGAAGGCAGAGTCAAGTCTCAGAACAACATGTCACTGAAATTGCCATTGCCCATCTTCTCCAAGTCTTCTTGTGACAAAAGTGTTTTCTTACCACTACCACCAGTTTTATCATATGGCTGAGCCATCTTCCGCAAGAACTGCACCCATGGGGAAAAAGTTGGATAATTTAGGTCCACATGCAACAAACAAGACATAGTATCACAACCATTTGAGATGTTCCAACATCCTCTTATCTCAACATCTTAATATGTCGACATTATAGCATCACTTTCAGGAAGTCTCAGATTGACAATGAATGTAATGAGATTAGCCTCAACTGTACACAAGTATATTTTGTGAGATATATGCCCCAACTTGACCTTTTGATTGTTCAGCAATGCATATTTACTCAATAGAGTTAACAGCAATGATTAGTTCTACTACAAATAAATATTTCTTGGACACTCAAAGTTATGAGAACTAGCTAAAGAGGAGAGCCAAAACTGATGCTTCATTGTTGGGAATAGTTCTGTCCGTGTCTGACAAGTACTTGTAGTTCACAATGGAAGACATAAACCTACTGGAACAGCAATAATGGCATACCTCTCTTGCTATATGCACAGCCATATCAGTACTCAAATTCAGGTGTGCATCACGTAAGTGTGACAGTATCCATCCAGGCAACTTAGAGCGTTTGTCATGACGGCTGTACCTGCATGTATTATCCATCCAGACAAAGGCATTACAGAGAATAACAAAATGTTATCGTCAGAAGATGAGGAGGTAAAAATATCATAAAAGTAAATTGATAAAATAATAGTGACTGTTTGATTGACTAACGTTACATGTATTCCTTAGGTCAATAAGTAGCCCTTTAATCATCATTCAATGAAGTTCTGGCTGACAAGGCCTACCACTAGCAATCAATGTCCAAACTCAAAAGCTTTTAGCCATTGCACCAAACGTCGTCCCCTCCAACCAATGTTCAAACTCAAAACATGACACAGATATTCTATCGCATAACACATTCCACAATTTCCAGTTTTTCTCTTGGAGGTGCAGATTGCCTTTGCAAGCAACCAGGAAAGGGAATAATACTACACCACATTCTCTACATGTGGTACAATGGTAACGGAATGTTATATGACACAGTTGGATTGGAAAGAATCATGCAGAAACATCTAACAAACTGTAAGCCTTCTACATTGAGACTTTGATTGCATTCCTTGTTTAAACATATGTTCGAAAATACACATTATTTGATTCAATCATTTATTTAAGTTTTCAAGGAAGCTATAAACAACTTTAATAATTTTGTCACACCTCAGGGGCAGCTTATGAATAGCTTCAAAGCAAATCCACAGTTAGACATTTAAGAATACAATGATGTATTGAATGAAAACACGTGTACAAACCTTTTGTCAGCAAAAATCATCATCCCATAATCTGCTTTTGACCGGATCACTCGTCCCACGCATTGAGCAGCTTGCCTCTGCAACAGTATAGTGTGCCCACTTAGTGGATGTCATGTTTTTTAAGTGAAATATGAACTTGAACAATTCTACGACACAAACCAATGCAGATTTCTTGAATGAACCAGTTCAGTTAAAAAATTACCAAAGCATCAAAAGTCAGAAAATCACCCTCCTTGATCTGGAAAGTCTCCCGCAAATACTCTAACCTTGCTAGCAATATTCTGCAATTCCCAATATCAGTTAACTACAGTTGCTACAGTCAAATTACATGATACATGAATCACATGCCCATGAGTAATTTGGAGAGTACAACCACATATCCTACACTTTTCTTGCAGGGAAAGCCCCCGGAGGGGAGGAAGGGGAGCCTCTACAGTTTAGAAACCCATGTTCTCTCTACCAGACAAGAAGACGACAAAGATTAGCAGCAAAGAGAGATAAGAGAGTGACACAATTACAGTTTTGCCTGTGTTTATAAAAGACACAACACCTGTTTTGTCCACCAACTCTACTTCTATATTTTTTTCTTCTCTGTCATTGGACCGCCCTAGGGCACAAAGGGCTCCAGAAAACAACAAATGAACAGCATGGCCTTACATATTACTGGAAGTTTCATAATAAATCTAAACCAGTATCTTTGTTTTTCTGCGTGAGTATTAACCATTTCTTCATACCATCTAAACTCCTCACTGTAATACTTTTTGCATAACTCATCAGCAATGTTTTTTACACATTTATATATACAGAAGTAAAATAGTAGTAAGAAAAAAATCACAGTTACACAACAAGAATGCATAAGATACAGAAAATTAGATCATATATTAATATACATTCATGTCCCCAATTCTTAATTTTAGAGGATTCTACGCTTATATGTCGACCATATGAACCAATGTCTGTATGTATGGATCAAGGACATAACTAGATTAGACACAAGAAAAATGTTACACGAATATGCATTAGAAGTAAAGTCGCATAACAATTAGAGAAAATCACCTGCTTAATGTGTACTGGAAAGGTACACCAAACATTATAACAAGTCTGCCATAATGTCTATCAAAGTCTATGCCTTCCGCTACTTTTCCCCTGTCATAGGTCAGAGGTAACTTATCATCATTATCTCATAAAATCCCAATCAGTTCAGCATATCATTTCTCTATCCCCTCTTTAGACGTACATGCAGCAGTTTTTTTTTTTTAATAGGACACATGCAGCAGTTTTCCACCTCAGAATCAATTTTTCACCAGCATGTAGCAAACAGCATTTGACACAAATTTTCCTAATGTCATTTACACAAATGCAGACATTTTTTAACTAAGCAATGCCCTTACTAGACTGCAAGACAAATCCCTCATTATGTAAAAATGAAGAGATTTCCGATAAGGTCCCGCTGCTAACACAAAATAAGAAAGACAGATGTCAGCCCCCTTTTTTTTTTTTTTGGCACAACCTAGAAGGTGATGCAATAACAAATCTTAAGCCTAAGGAATGTCTTGACAACCTTTATCATACCAGCAAAATCTGATCGCCCTGATAAAGATTTCTTTGCATTGTATGCCTGTTATCATTTTGTAGATTTACCTGTAAGTTGTTACAACAGATGTAGATTCCTGTGTTTTCAAGGCTAGGAAGAACAATATGGGGGTTAATGTTTCCATCACTCGACACTCCTACAACACAGAAGCCTCTACATTGAGGACGACTGTACCACCTAAGACCATAATGATATATTATTTCTATATGGCCAATCAGAAAAGGGCTCTACGTGTTAACATCCTTAAGTTCAACTTTAGCAACGAGCCAACAGCAATGAAAAAGATCATAGTCACTAAACAAAACCTACCACCGACCCCCAGAAACTTACAATCTAAGCATAAGAACAATTCTGATAGAAGGTTATTATTATAATTCAAACAATCTAAATATCAGAAATAATTACCTGGCAACAGAGAAAAATACAGCACCTCTCCCACAATCACAAGCCTTGCGATAGTTGTCCAGAGCCAATGTAGTTTCAACAACATCTTGAGTTTCAATAAAGACTAATTTGTGTTGCATTATATCCTGCAAGATGTATATCTGTGACTCAAAAAAAAGATATCTAAAGGAAAGCAGGCTTAAAGTGGTAGTAAAGTTTGATCTAATTTAACTAAGAATGAATTTCAAAAGTAGGGCATATGGGGTAAGTGCAGGCAAACGGCAATTGATGCAGAGAGAAGAAAAAAAAAAGCCCTTCAAAGCCAAAAACAAAAATAATCATTCGTTCTCTCTCTTTTGTGTGAGCTGTCTTCAGGGCAACACCCAAGTTTATCTTCGTCAACAGTTTCCTGAAAGCAATTACCAGTGTCATGTAATTGTTTGCTAGGTTTTTACCTTCATGAAATCATCGACACTTCTTCTGAAGAGGGATATACCCAAACAATTATAAATACCTGACTCAGTTTGTATAATCTATACCCAGCAACCTTCCCAGACATCTAAACGACAGAGAGGGGTGAACTATGCCATCCTAGGGGAGTAAGTCAACACCAAAAGAGAGGAAATTATAACTCTTATTGCTGGTTAATCAACTTTGTATTGATGGGGTTTGGGATGTCACGGCAGAGCAGACCGTTGTGATGGTGACTAAGCAGCAACTGGGATTAGATGATGGACCAATTTGAGCGTCATCGACAGTCTATATGTGAGGAAAAAGGGAGTTTATTTTTGAGTTTTAACATCAATTTTGTCCTTTCAGCATTATTAGCTGCTCTGGAATGAAAATTTTTGATCTGGCAACATGGCCAGCCTTGTGGAAATTAGATTTAAAGTATGTTGCTGTAAAACAAAAAATAAAAACACAAAATACGGAAACTTGATGTTGATAGATGATATAGTGTCACCTTTAGAATTCCCGATTCATGCCAACTATTGACTATTCCATCCATGTATGAGTAACTGACAAAGAAACACACAATTCCATCTGGAACAACAGACACCATCTCTAGCAAGAGCCGTCCATAATTTCTTTCAACACCAGGATCACTTCTCAGATCAAATTTTGTGCTAACAGGAAGCTGATCACTAGAAAAAAGCCAGAGGTAAGCATTACTCAATTAAAAAATCGAAGGGAATAAATATATCTCTGACCTTTTAATAAATACAATAGTTGCACCATTAGAACCATATATAAAGAAAGATTAAAACAATAATTGGAACATTTACCTTCCTCGAGTGAGAACCATTGGACATATGCAGTCCCTCGTCAAGGACATTGTAAAGCTTCGACTAACTACTGGATTGAAATTAAGAAGACGAGGGTAGAGATCAATTGGGCTGAGAGTACCAGATGTAATCACCACTGATTGGAATCGTTCAAATACAGGCTTTATGGCGAGAGAAGCATCATGGCAGCTAAGCTGTGATGTCAACATAAAAGGAGCATCTTTATAAAATAATATACAGGGATCGAATGGATGACAAGATTGAAGCAATCAAAACATCCACAAAGTAGACTATAAGAGCAAAAGCAGTGACTGGCTGATTCAAACCCCAGTCTTTTCTGTGAGGGAAATTTCTGTTCGCCTACTAGGATATTGCACATGAGGACTCGGAACTCTAAAAACTTTGGGCCACATGGAACACTGTGAACCAATACAGAGTTGCCTAAAGAAAACATGGTTTTAGTCCTAAGAAAGAAACATTAATTATGACTGGAACATACCTAGGTACGAGTAGTAAGTAGTTGTCTGGTATCTAGTAAGTGGAGATTAGCACCCAACTTATACTGGATAAATATAAAGAAACTTGAAATTCTAACAAAGCATACCTGCAACACGGGATCAGGAATATGCGGCATTCTCTCATCAAAAGGTTCAATTATAATTGAAAAACCTCGAGTGTAAGTCCCCACGAGCGTCGCAAAGTCACAAATTGTTTGGATGTGTAAAAACTCATCTGTGTCAGTTATCTCCAGTGTTAACATAAGTGAATGCAGTCGATCATAACAGAACTTCAACATTTTCTGGTCAATTCCGACCTGCGCATTTATAGAGGCAACAAAGGTAACAGGCCCCTCTTTTTCAACATTCTCAGTTTGCAGACGACCTTTAAGATACTGAACCAATCTGCGTAAAACAGACAAGAAGTGCTCTGCACGCCGTATGTTTCCAGGAACTGCTTCCTTTAGGATATCGTCAGGCAAAGCAGGATTTGCAAGCCAGGTATCCGCAACTGCAAAAATAGAGTACAGTTAGAAGCACATATAATCTAATGAATTAACTGTACATCAGAATTCCACGTACGAGGCAGATTCCCTCTTTGTGCCAAACCATCAACGAGTCGGTTGTATTCTGCACGCAATCTACCAGCATCAGTGGCCTTAAACCTACCTACCATGTCAAACAAAGTCGACACATTTATTAAACATTAGATAACCTGGACAGGTGGAAAAATCATGACACAATCTTTTTTTTTTTTTTTTGATAAGAAACAAAGCATTGTATCGATCATAATAGTAAGTACAGCAATCAAAAAGAGTGGACAAGAAGTCCAAGCTCATACAACAAAAACAAAAAAGAACAAAGAAAATTCAAAAGAACAAACATAGTAGCCTCTACACTATCATTTGAAAGAAGACTAAAAATCACAAACGGCTCTCCATCCAGCCAAAATTCCAACAAGTGGAATGCCCTCAAAATCTTTAGTAATTGACACCCAAAAAGATGCCAAAAAAATATACGGCTCCATAAACCTTCCAATTTCACACACCTTTCCTCAAAATCCGAGCATTCCTTCCCAACCAAATCACTCACATTGTTGCAAGGATAGCACAATTCCATAGTGCAACTGCTTTACTGTGTCCTCCGAACCCCTTGAAATCCTCATCAACTATTTTTCTCCATCCCACAATAGGCAGCACGTAACTAAGTGGTTGGGGCACCAAGTGTTGAAAGTGTAAGCCTAAGGTATAGCAACTATTCGCAGTTTCGCACTATGAATTCTCAATTATTCAGAATTCAAAAAATAAATGATCACAACCTGCCAACAAAGAAGAATTAAGACTCAATATAGAATATACCAAAACGAGCTTGAATATACAGAAAACTACCAACTAAACTCAGTAATAGTCTCTTATCCATGTCGTCAACAACAACAACAACATTTAAACAAAAACAAGTTTCTCAGTAAACTTAGAACACCTACAATCAATTTCACAGACAGCTAAATGTGAATGTGCACACATCGTGCATAAATACCTTTCAATCTCCTGAGACATCTTACTGAGATTTCTCGTTGCCCCTTCAAGTGTCTGCTTCCGCACGCTAACACTAAGTGCCTCAATACACACATTATCGATATTGTGGGCCTCATCAAACACTACAACAGACTCTCTCTGCATCTCTTTTGATATGATCCCAGCAACCTTAGGATCTAGCAGGTACTGGTAGCTATAAACCACCACATTCGCAAATTGCACCATATGACGTGCCAAAAAGTACGGGCACCACCCTTTCTCCTTCCCAAACACCCTCAAATCCTGCATCAATCGTGGAAAAAAAACATGACTCCACAATTATTTGGCAAGTAATAACTCAGACAACAGTATTTCTCGGGCTATCAACCCCAGAAGTAGCAATTCAATCCAAAATTTCATAAGAAAAAGAACTGTCAAAGAAAATAGTACATGAAAGTAAATCACGAAGAACTCATACGAAAAAGAACTGTCAAAGAAAATAGTATATTAAAGTAAATCACGAAGAAAAAGAAGGAAAAAAGAAATGTGCATAATTACTTCGTCATAACTGGCAATAAATCAGGATTGTCCATAGCAATCAAGTTAATTGATCCTTTATCCACGTATGAATTACCTCGGATACTCAGAAACAAGCCAGGAAAGAAGTGAGCAAACTTGTACGAGAAAACAATGGGAAGAATATACCAAACAACATGTCTTTGTTTCGTACCTACTACAAATAAATCGAAAACTATATAAACCAACCAATGTATAACAGAACGCAAGAGATAAATCAGTTTCTTTTCACAATCAACAAAAAAATTAAGAATTTGACAAAATTATCTCGAACCTGTAAGGTATAGACCCCAGGAGGCAGCACCGCATCCGACGCGGCCTTCTCGTAGTTCTCAAAGAACTCGCAACTCGGAATATTAGGGTTTTCAATAGCCAGAGCCCGAACCCAACTAGCAGTTAGCTTCCTACAAGCCGCATCCACCGAATCTCGATTTTCCGCTGAAACAACACTCGGATTAATACACAAATTCTTCCTCGACGATAAACCCAACGCCAGAATCCTCGCCGCCGGACCGAGGTGTTGAATCTGATACTTATGAAGCAGTTTGAGCTCTGCTAGGGTTTTTTCCATCTCGTGGACGGTACGGGTGCAGTAGAGAAGCTTGATTGGATTGGATGGTTTTGAGAGTGTGTAGCTGGTGATTAAAGAAAGTAGAGCTATGGTTTTACCAGTTCCTGTGGGCATTTCGAGAAGGCAATGGCCTTTGGCGTCTAGGGCACGCTTGAGCTCGACCATGTATGCGTATTGTTCTGGGTATATGTGGTCGTAGGGGAAGTATACTGTTACGTCTTCGATTTGGAACTTCATCTTTCTCGCTCTTCTCTTTACGAAGAATGACTCTGGCTTTATTAGGGTTTACTAATGAAGACGAAAAAGATTCAGTGATGATCGCTGGACAAGAGGCCGGGTCGGAGCCAGAAAATCCTCGTACTGGAGCAACCTAAAACTCACAATAACTAACGCAAATATTGTTTTCACAAAATTTAATTTTTTTTTTAGCACTTTTTTTTATAAACACAATTTCATTATAAAAAAAATAAATAAATAAACACAATTTCACTAAAAGAATGCTAATTGCAGGCGCAACTAGAACTGTTAAATAAGACTACCTACTCGAGTTTGATTTGTGTTCAATTTAGATAAAATTCGGTTTAAACTCGACTCATATTTTAAACGAGTTGAACTTTAACAATTTTTAAACAAGCTTAAAAAGACTCACCTCAAACTCATAAAATTCGAATCATTTATGTATAAAATAGTTGAGTTATTCAGACTCAGATTCGTCAAGTTCTAAATGAACTGAATTTGAATAATTTGTAAATTCGTTTAAATAAATAAGCTCACCAAACTCAGGTTTAAGCTTGCAAAGTTCAAGTCAATTAACATTTCTAGGTATAACCAGCTCTCAAACGAGAGCACAACCCGAGAGTCAACTAAAAATAAATTATCCAAAAAAAAAGTAATTTAAATGGAACAAGAAAATGCAATGACCAAGAGCCAAGTGAAAAAGGATGCCCGTTTCTAAATCGGATAAGCTTAAGCCCATACATACTCTTTATAGGTCCCAATGGCATTATTCTTTGTAATTTACAAACAGACGATTAGGAAATTAGTCAAATAAATTCACCTCTACACGTTGAATAAAGTGATGATTGTGACACTATGATTACAAGTTCAACGTTGCATAGAAAATATCCAAATTCAACAATGCATAGATAATGAAGATACTAAAAATTACCCGGGGTTAAACTCAACCCAATAGAAGATAGGGGGCTTATGTAAACTTTCATATGTTTATATTAATATAATGATATAATTTTTTTAATAATTCTAATATATATAAAGACGTAAGATGAACCACATAGATTATAACAGTATAAATAAATATTTTGGAGACAAATTGATTGTGAAATTTAAGTTGCGAATGTATTTAAACTTGGAAGAAGTTGTTAGGTAAGTTCAAAATATTTTTAGGTCAAAATAAGATTTTCATTAAATCCGGAAGGTCGAGAAACCTTGGGAGAAGTAATATGGGGTGTATTAGAAGTTAGAAAGTGTTCCAGAGTTTTTAGAGAGAGAATTTGGGTAAAAAGAATCTTAGATACTACCTAGTATTTTGATCATAAATTTTTATTCTGAAGTCCATTGGATCTGAAATTTTGACAGTAGATAGTAGACTTCTATGGTTACAAAACTGTATTTCAAAAAAAATTTCCAATTCGACCTCTAAATGAGCCAAAACTATACTGAAAGTTAGAACAAAAATCTGTCAGTCAAACTGTACCGGTACGCAATACCGGTACGCCCAACTCCAAAGGCTAAACAGTACCGGTACTGCGTACTGGTACGCTTTATTTAAAGCTTGCCGAACAATAAAAAAATTGGGATTTTTATGTTTTAAAACACCATTCTAAGCCCCCATTTGTCCCATTCTTTCTTTCCACTCTCACCCCACACCTCTTAGAACCCTAATAGAAAATAAAGAGAGAAAGAAAAGGGAGGAAGAAGGTCTTCAAAACTTGGGCTTTTGATTTGAAATTCTTGATTACAAGATAGGGGTTTTCTTCAATTCTTGTCCATTGATGTTATGACTAATATATATGTATGTTTTGACTCCTAATCTTATGTATTTGTTATGGGTTTTTTGTTTCTTGGTCTTCTTACAATTATTATCATGTTTTAAACAAAGTTAGGGTTAAATACCCATAAAATATTTTTTTCTTGATCTAAAACCCTAGTTTTCAAGAGTGATGGATTTTTCTTTTGATTCTTCCTTGGTTCTTGATTTCAAAATTTTAGTGTTTTGTGTTGAGTAATAAAATGATATTGATGATGATTTCTTGCATTTTCTTCAATGTTCTATTGAAATGATACATGTGAAAATTTGGGGATTGTTGAAATTACTTGGGCTCTTGGAAATACCCATGGAATTGGGGGTTTTGAAAATTGTTTGTTATTGATGGAATTGTTGGTATTGTATCTTTTGTGTGGTTGTTTGGATAAACATTGTCTACGATTGACTGGGTATCATGGAATGGATAGACGTCTTCTTACTTCGTGCGGGTTTGAACATATCCTATCACTCGTAGTGGGGCTGGTGTTTTGCGAGGAACAAATCACTATTAGCTCACAGGTGCCATGTCAAAAGATTAGTATACTAATGTCTGGGTTGGATTCATCACTGCCATGGTGTTGGCACATGCCCTTCCCAAAGGTTGGATAATCTTGCAAGGATTTGTGTTTATGGATATCTGGGACATGATGTTTTCGATGGTGGTCATGCTAGATCTTACTTCATACTTGAGATATGAATACAGTGGTGGGTTATTGTTCATTGTACCAGAAATGGTTTCTACAAGAATCTTAGGAAGTATGAGATTCTGCCAGAACTTGGGAGAAACGGTTTATGGTGGAATGGATTATTAGTCGTATATCGTAATGGTGGGTTATTGTTCATTGTAGCAGAAATGGTTTCTACAAGAATCTTGGGAAGTATGAGATTCCGCAACAACTTGGAAGAAACGATTTATAGTGGAATGAGTTACTAGTTATATATTGGTTTCACTTATGCATTAAATTACTGTTGTTGCTTAAACTTGAGATCTGTTTAAATATCTCTGTTTTATTTCAAAATTCATATATTTGTGAAAGGTAACCGACTGTTTTTATATGTTTTCTAAACCTTATTCGAATTTGGGAGGATTTTTCCTATAGAGCTTAGTGCTCACCCCCTACAAACAAACATTTCTCATATTATATCCGAGAGGAGGATCTTGGAGGCGATGAGCAGGTACCTTGGGAGACTTCGACAGAAGCGAACATGGATTCTGAGGTGGACGCCTAGAGCGACTTTACCTTTTTATTCTAGACTCGATAATTCATTTTGAAACATTGTAAAGTCTAGCTCTTTTTTTTTATTTCAGTGCACTATAACAGTTAAATTTTTGAGATGTAAGCGCTATAGTGTGCATATTCTTTTGGGATAATGTTGTAAATTTTATGAATGATGAATGAAATCTTATTTATTTATGGATCATATTATTTGCTCTCATGATTTGAATGATTTCAAATTGTAATATCTTCCAAGGTGGTTTTTTGGGTATTACAGCTTACCCTCACTAGGCCCACGATATAATGTCAAAATTTTGTTCTAATCGAGACAGCTAAGGTTAGGTGAATAAGCTGATCTCTCAATCCCTAGCTTCCCAGGTGGTCATCCAAGATCAAAAATCCTAGCTCAGATATCACATATCAGACATCCCAGGTTGGACCTCATAGCTTAGACCTTCTAACCCCGAGAGTCCTTGTTCGGGAGGCGCAAATCGGGAATTGTCACCAAAGTGACCGTTGTGTGCACTACGACAGTGATAGCTCACACATTCTAGAAAGTCACGTCACACTTATGGATAGGGGTTTTTAAATTTTCGATTGACTGCAATTTCGTACCCTACCCTACCCTATTAAACAACTAGCCACAAAAATCGGGTAGAAATACAGAAGAGTTGTTGATATTTCGATTAAATCGAGTAGGAATGCGAAATAGCCATCAATTTTTGCATTCCTATTCTACCCTACCCGCATTAATTAATTAATTAATATATATACATAAAAACTAAAAAAATCTTAATTCCTAAACCAACCTTATCATTTACTAACTAAGCAAGCGCCTCACTCCACTCCTCTCATCTTGCCTCCATCGACTTTCATCGCTCAAGCTTCTGCCTCTATAGTTTAGGCCTTCACCGTTCAGTCCCGACCTCCCCCAGGTACTCTCTCTTCCCTTCTCTTTGTCTCTCTCTCTCTCTCCCTATCTTTGTTTGGGCGCAATCTAGTGGCCTTCATCGTTTAGGCCTTCATCTGCAAATCTTAATTTATTTATTTTTTAAGCATCAAGTTAATGAACCTGAAAACTCTAGCTTTCAAGCATTGTTCAAGCCTTCTCTGTTTTTTTTAAGCATCGTTCAAGCATTTTCTATTGTTTTTTTAAGCATCATTCAGGCATAATTATTATTGTATTTGTGTAATAATTATGATGGATTGATGATCATGCTTTTCTTGTATTTTATTGTAATTGTTTTAGATTTTAGTGTTATTGATTTATTGTATTGTTAAATTGGTGCATGTTATTTAATTGAATTGTTAAAATGATTCAAGAATTAATAGCTAAAAAAATGTTTACCCAACTTTCTACCCGATTAATTGGATAGAAAGTCAGGTAGAAATACCACACCTGATCAGGTGGAGTAGGCCAAGAAAAAAAAATTTCGTAAAGTATCAGGTAGAAAAATGAAAGACTATATTTCCTACATGTAGGGTAAGATGAACACCCCTACCTATGGAATTTAAGCCTCTAATGGCCAAATATTCCATCACATGAGTTATAACAACCCCAAAGGGATCACGTTGATCACCCAAGGGGATCATGTTGATCACGCAAGGATGGCAATCGTGATGATTATGCAAGACTACAACATACTATAAATAGAGATCAAATCCCTCACATTGTAATCGATAAAGTATGTGTACATTGACTCTTTGTAATTTTGTAGCCTTCTTCCCCAAATAATAAAAAACTCCCCCAGGAGAAAGAAACTCCATTAGAGCGGACTAGCCAAGTATTTGAGCTGATGAACCATTATAAATCTCTCGTCTATTGATTTCTACTCACAGTTATAATCTCTGAATTGATTGTTCAACCACCAAGAGCCTAGAAGCTCTGACTGGATGTTCCAGTGAATCCATCAACCTCTACTCAACCACGCAGAATACACCATCAGTTTGGAGCCGTCTGTGTGAACAATTGGTTC